CTTTATTACTTAACATCTAGAAAATACATAATACAGTTAATTTTTCTTGCAAGTTGAAAATGCTGAACTTCTTTGTGACCACTTTTTTTCCCCCAGGCAAATTTAATGGTATTTTATTAGCTTAACATACTCTCCAAGGAAAATAACAATAAAAATTTGAGCTCATGTTTTATATTATAGAAATCAGAGATGAACTACCATGGAGTTAATTTATTGACCTATTAGATAGATATCATTTCTAAATTTTAATATTTATAAATTATATGTTACATACCATTAACTTCTTTATTTGCACTTATCTTAGTGTCTGTGTTTAAATATTCTTTAATCATAGGATGATAACATGTAAAGCATATATTAAGAACTTCTAAAATTGATGTCATTTTGAACAAATTACCTATGATATTAATATGGCTGTAGATTATCTTGCTTTATGAACAGAATCAGTAAATTAATGTTGAACTAGAATTTAGTTATTTTTATTAGTGTGTGTGTGTGCATGTGTAAAATTTTTCTGCATATAAATTAGTGTATGTTTATTCTTGGGAAAAGTAAAAATGGGTGTTTGTTAAAAGGAAAAACATGACCTACATTTTATAACCTATACTGTATTTGATTGAGAATTCTTTGAATAAAAAATGTAGAGAATTCTAGATATATAAAAAATGAGGCAAGTGATTAGTACTAGTGCATTAAATTTCATACATTTTTTTAAAAGGTAGCTCCAATTTTACAATAAACATCTAAAGAAAAGGCCAAAAGTGAATGCATGAAACCAGGACTTTTTAAACAATTGTTAATGATACCAACTATTGCCATTCACTTATAGGAATGAAAACCAGAGATGGGCATTTAGACTTAGGAAAAGGGTACCATCTTTTACTAATTTTTGCTTTGAGAAGAGTTACAATCAGGCAGCTAAAATAAATGATCTCCATATGGAAGTGTTGCAGAAGCCTCTTCATTATACAAATTAAATAAAATACTATCTTTGTAATATAAAACACATATATACACATATAACACACACACACACACACACACACACCCCTATATAGAGACCAAGAAATTCTATCTCAAAGTTATTTGACCCATTAAGCGGAGATAATAATGAACAACTCATAAATTTGTGAAGATTGTTCACCACTGATCACAGGACCTGTTTAGTGAGCCCTTCTGGCCTTTCGCCCTTTCTGTGAAAGTTTCAAATTAGATGAAAATGAATAGTGTGAAAGGAGAATGGAGGTCCTGAATCTCAGATGAGGCTCACACTGCTCTCAAAGTAGCAGGATCTGTGAGCAAAGATTTATTTTGCTAGAAGGAAATGTATTGCGGGAAGAAGTTGTAAGTGTGGTCTTGAAATTTGACCCTTCAGAAAATAACAATGGCCAGTCTATGTTGAAGACAGAGAAGGGTTTTTCTGAGCAGAAGTAATAAAATCTTTTAGTTCTATATTAACTCTTAGACCCTGTCAAGAAACGTGGACTTTTCTAGATCCCATAAACATGTTATATATTTGTAATGCTATGGACAAATTTCTTTGGTCAATATTTACTGACCTTCTAGATTGTGCTGGGGTCTCAACAATAAAGTAGGCAGAGGTGTTCCCTTCAGAGATTGTCAAGTGGGTAGTCTGACAGCAATAAACTCAGAGTGTTAGAAAGTTTTGGTAGAAGAGGAGTAGCATATAGTATTCTTATTCTTTCTGAGAATTTCAACTAATTCCAACCAATCTGACGTTGTTCAATTTTAGTTTATTCTGATTAATATTCTGGTGTTGAATATTTAGGTTATTTCACCTTGTGCTCTTCATAACAGAATTGAAATAAATCAATGAACATCAATATGCAGTAAAAAGACAAAACAGAATGAAAAAACCCTAAAAAGTTTTGAAAAAATGAAAATGTCTAAAATGTTTTAGAACCCATAGAATGAGATGAAGTTAATAGTGATTCAAAACGTGTAACAGTGATTAGGAAAGATTTCTTATACAGGTTCTTTTCTTGACCCAGCTGTCACATTGGCCAAGGTACTTTGCATCAAATTACTTTCAGCCAATTTGTTTTTAGGTGCACATGAAATCAAGAGGGGAGGGTGAGCCCTGGCTAGTGTGTCTCAGTGGCTAGAACATCGGCCCCCACACCAGAGGGTCATGGGTCCGATTCCCAGTCAAGGGCGTGTACCTGGGTTACAGGTACTACAGGTTTGACCCCCAGCTCTGGTCTAGGCACGAGCGGGAGGCAACCAGCTGGTGCGTCTCTCTCACATTGATGTCTCTTTCTCTCTCTCTCCCACCTCACTCCTTCCCTTCCAGTCTCTCTAAAAAAAATCAATGGATAAATATCATCCAGTGAGGATTAACCAAAAAAAACAGCAGGGGAGGGTTTGAGAGGGTGAGGAGCAGATAAACAGGAGCAGGACTGAGTCAATAATAATTCCTAGTGTCGTCTCATCTATCTGGACACTGTAAAATAAGCCAGGGCAGTTCTTTTAAAGTGGATTATCAATTATGAACACAATCCAATTTTTTAAAATTCTTTGAAAATTAGCCAAGGAAAACACATATATTTCATGCATTTTCATATTTATAGGAAATAAGAATATTATTTGATTTATATAAGAGTGCTCATAGTACCTGATAGTATGTAGACTCTCTCCAAAACAAATCATGATTTATTATTACCTATCTTATTTCTTAGAAATAACACAAAACAAAAACCCAAATCATGTTTTTTTTGGCTAAACTAAAAACAAAATAAAACCTGTCATTTGTATTCCAATTCTTAAGAATAAAATAGTTGTAAAAGGCTGCTTTTCAGATTCAATAGAATCATTCTAACCCATTATCTGATAGCAAAATTCCTAGTAATTTATAATTTGTAACAGGTTTGGGAATATCAGACCTATTTCATGGTTATTTATATGGAGTTTTAAAGAACTAATATTATTGTATATTCTTATATTTGATAGCCCTGCCTGGAAAACATTGCCCTTTGCATCAATTAAATACATATATTTTGAGATCCTAATGAGCAGACAGATGAAGAATGTATTATTTTCTATTTTAGATAGCATATGAAAATTAAAAATTCACATTCTTTTACTTTACAAAACATGTTTATTTACCTTCAGCCTTCCTAAACTGTTTAGGAAAGCTTTCCATGAAAATAAGAAGGTATTGCCCTGACCAGTGTGGCTTGGTTGGTTGGAGTGTCACCCCATATGCCAAAAGGTCGTGGGTTCAGTTTCCAGTCAGGGCACATAACTAGGCTGGCCGTTCGATCCCCAGTCAGGGCACATATGGGAGGCAACCGGTAGATGCTTCTCTCTCACATGGGTGTGTGGATTTCTTTTCCATTCTCCCTCCCTCTCTCTCTAAAATCAATAAAAAATGTGTCTTCAGGCCAGGAATAAAAAAATAAATAAAAAATCTTTGCTAAAAAAGTAAGTTATTATGAAAATTAATAAAGAAGAAGTGATTTTGCTCAGATACCTAACATTTGTTCATTTATGTTGTTAAAGCCAGTTCTACTTTACGATCACGGTGATCACACTCCAGGCAATATTCATTTTCCCTAGTGATTAATGTAGCAACATCGAGTTTTTCCAAGGTTATTTTCTTAATTTGAGTGGCCAGGAAGCACTTCCCCTGTTGAAAAGCAGGTGTAAACATGGATACGCAAGATAAGAGAGCGACTGCATCTTCTTTGCTGTGTCTCCAGTGTGGGGAATTCGGCAGGTTGAAGTCTGAGGACCCAGTAGGGCTATTTATCAGAAGCAAAGAACTATAGAAATATGGGTGTGGTTCAAAGACTTTAATTAAAAGACTGACAGAAAGCCTTTCAGTAGCAAAATAATCTGTCAAACACTCTGAATATATTGGGGCTGTGTGGCAAACATGTAAAATCAAACCCCGGCGCAGTAATTACAGGTAATTTCTGAACTGTTTCTAATTTCCTTGCTCTGTAAATTATATGCCTTTCCACTTGAGACAAGATTCGACTCAGGATCTTATCGAGGTTCTCACAGCGTGACACTGGCTGTGTCATTTCAGTATTCTCCATGCTGCTCTTCAAATTGTCATCTCCTTTTGAATGACAGGAAGGACGATTTGGTGTTAAAATCTGAGCTATTCTTCCTGTTCTTATGTTCTTTATATTTGGATCTACTGTTAACTTTGGCAAATTTTACTAATTATGGATTAGCGGTTGAATGCTGTGGATTGAGTGTATGTTCAATAACTTCTCCTCGGCATGCCGAATAAAATAAATCATAAAGCTTTCAGAATACTGGGTTTCACGCTAGTTGACTCAATACTTGTTAAAGACTCCTAGGTACTGCAAAATTGTTAGAAGGCGTTACCAGCTAATCAGGGTAAGAACTGCAAGACTCTAAGCTGTGCATTAACATCATTTGTAAGAAAAGGAAAAGCAAAATAATATAAATAACAATTGGCTTCTTCATTTTTGTTTCTAAAGAGTGTTCTCATCCTATTTCCTATCACTAAGTTTTCTTAAATGAAAAAAATCAAAAAGCATTTAACATGCATAGACTCATCCATCGTTAACATTTCTTTAACCTTATGTGGTGGTGTTCTTTGTGTTTATTTCTGTCCCGTTGTTTCTTTGTCCACTTCTTTGACGAAGCATGTCATTTTTTGTTTTAGCTATCTGTATTTTGCTACTGCATGTCAAACTTTTAAATGACTCAGCAAACAAATGGATTCTTGTCATTTTAAAATTCACTCTAAATAGTGTGAACAACCTGTTTGTTCTCGAGCCTCTCTCCAAGTTTTCACTTTGTACAGGAGCATAAAAAGAAAGTGAACAAAAAATGACAAGAACTGTGAGGTACAGCCAGCTTTGTACCAATAATCTGTTTAAGCTTGTTAAAGTTAAACCTAAGTAAGATGTGTGTATTTATAATTTGAATCATTTGTGTTTCTCTTTTGTTTGCATGATATGATTTTGTTTTATATTTTGTTTTTTTCCACTCACCAGATGTTCCCAACACTTTGCTTCCCACTACTATCATCCCCTCCCTTACCACTGCAACAGTCACAACCACTGTAGCCATAACAACCAGCCCAACCACATCTGCAACAACCAACAGCATGAGAGGTACAGTATGCTTCTTTGTTATGGCCTAGAAAACACATTCAATGGAGCTTTAAAGGGTTTTTTTAAGGGGTAGAAAAATTAAGATCCAATTTTACTTAGTAATAAGAAGAAATAAATCACCTAAATTACATTCAATTAGAGTTATTGGAATAGAATGAGACAAATGTTCTATTTTATTTTTTGAGTGTCACTTATGACTATTATTAAAATATTCCAGAATGTAGGTTAAACATATATGGTGTTCTACAACATTGAGCAGATTTACAATGTGAACATGGGCCTTATTTTTTTGCCTTGCCTTTTCAGTGCAAACAAAGAAAAGAATGTTCACGGATGCAGAGATAACTTTTGCTTTTTTAAGACTCTAGTTTAATGTTAATGAGTTGTCATTTCTCTGCAACCAGATTAAAATACCCAGTGTTGACTGTGTTCTAAAATTGACATAATCCATTTTAAACAATATAAAAACATAGAACTTTTAAGTAAATATTCAACATATTATTCTAAAGTGATTTGCTGAGTGGATCCACTTGTTCTAACAGAATGTTCAAAGGCAAATGTTCTAGAATTGTCCAGAATGATAGTAATTGATATTGGCTCCCTGCGTAATTTCTGGTATCAGTTTATTAGTAAGTATTTTTGCCTTAAGGACAGCAACCTTAAAGAAATTAAAGTAATCCTTTGGGGCAAATAAATAATTATATAGGGTTCAGGAATATAAAAAAGCATTCCTGAACAGCCATTTAGTGGTTAGCAGATGATCAATGAATAAAAAGAGTTGAGTTCATTCTAGAAAAACACATTTTAAACTTTATTTCTGCATGAGCAATGTTCAGAAAATATTTGTCTTATTTAAGTCTGCTTTTTTTGATTTCTTATATGTGTTTTGTGTCATGTTGGCTATACTAATATGTGTTAAACTTAACAAATTAACTTGAAATCATGGGGACTTTACATTAATATATATGTAATTAAACTTGTACCAAGGGTAGGCTTAGAATTATTTTCCTCCACTTATAAAGGTAGTTCAATTGTACTATCTGGTTTTATTGAAATTTTTATTAATTCTCAATATTAAATCGAGTTGCTAGCTTTCATGTCACAGTTATCATAGCATTTTTTCTGTAGTTCCAGAAAAATTTGTATTTGGTCATTGCTGATTTTTAATAATCATGTTAACTATATTATACAATGTACAAGATTGATAGCTAAAGTTTGATGGTAGTAGCAATAATAATTTCTCAAAAATACCTAGGTTTGTTTTATGATTACTAAATAAATTGTATTTGAGCTAAATCTACAAATGAGAAGAGTTTAAAGGTCTTTCTCATAGCAATTTACATAAAAGTGGAAAGAAAATAATAAAGCTGAAGAAAAAGGTAAATAGTACATTGATATTATATAAAATGAAAGATATCTAAAATTCTGTTTTGCTTTAGTTTATTATTTTTTGAAGATTTTTACAAACAGTAATTCAAACGAAATGTAATAAATCCATACTAACAAAATCTCAATGATATTAAGTTCCATTGTACAAACAAAGCACACTGATAGAAAGGAAGGGAGGTATACTGATTTAAATTTGTATTTTAAAGACCTACTCATAACTTATTAGTCAGGTATGCTTTCCTTCTTTAACAAATATTTAGTGAGCACTTGGTATATATACAGGAAACATGCCAAGCCCTAAAATTACAGAAATTAAAGGTATTGCATCCCAAATCACTAACAATTTAATGAATTTCCCCAAACAGGGCATCCCCCGCCCCCCCAAAAAAATGTATACCCACACTTTGAATAATTATAAAGGCAGTGTTTATTAAAATACATTTCATTTTCATTTAACAGCTATCAGTGGTTAAAATGTGTATACATTTGTGTACAAATGTATACAAAATGTGTATACGTTTTGGCCTCTGTAGAGGCCCTATATGTGAGAAAAATGCCTTATTTTAAACTGAAGTGTTTAACAACATTCTTTTATATTCATTCACATGTATCTTGATATGTTACCTATTGCATTTTATCCAACCTGTTAAAGGAAAATCAATTTTATACTTTTTCAAGTAAACTCACTTGTAGGTTTCCTAAGATGTTTTGTGAACTTTATTAAATCATGGGCATTAAAAGTGCTAAAATAATCTCCCTGATATAAACACACAAATGAACAAACCTCAAAGAAATGTGCGTGCACATACACAAACACACACACACACACAGAGTATTTTCTGGTTTTTACCAAACAGTTAAAAGATAATATTTTTCAAATGACATCAATATGTATGTATGGAAAGAAATTTATTTTGTAAGTTAGTCAATCCATAGTATCTATTTTACACAGAAAATGTAGTAACACTGACATCGAATGCTAGCCTAATGCTTATTTTCCTTAAGCAGTCGGAGACTGAGGGAAGTCACCGAGCTCACCTGCATGATTACTCTTATGGTTCATAATCGAGGGAGTGGGGGATCCAGTCAGTACCTAAACATTGCTGTGAAGTCTGTACTCTATCCCTTTTAAGTTACTGTACCATATTTCCCATTTGTGCATTACCTTTTAAATTAGAACTTTCGCATGCAATTATATTTTAAATGAGATTCATTTATTTATAAATTAGTGAAAGATTTTTCAAAATTATGGTTAGAAAGGTATCAGAAGCCCTGGCCAGGTTGCTCAGTTGGTCGGAGCACCATCCTGTGCACTGAAGTTTGCAGGTTCGCTTCCCGGTCAGGGCACAGGCCTCGGTTTTGGGTTCGGTCTCAGTTGGGCACCTATGGAGACAACTGGTCCAGGATTCTCTCTCACACCTTTGTTTCTCTTCCTCCCTTCCTCTCTAAAATCAATAAAAAAGCATATCCTCGGGTGATGATTAAAAATAAAAAGGATAGCATAATAAAGATATGTTTGCTAAGAAAAGCTGAGAAGTAAAGAGAATATTTTCAGCTTGCAGATTTTTTAAAGTTGATGTTTAATCACTTTCTCTCATTCAATAATCTGAAGTAAACTAACAATATTTGATTTTAATAGCTTTAAATGTCATTTATTCAGATTTTTAAAATAACAACAGTTACCTATCTAATAAATCACCACAAATATCTCCATTGACACTCTTTCACCACTCCTATTATTGCTGAGTTTTTCATCCTAAAGTGTGATGAACATCAACTTAAAGTAAACTTAAAGAATCACAGCTGTGACTATATTATAAATTAAGATAAAATAGAGTAAAAGATACTACTCAAATAGTCATAACCTTGAGGATTTGCACATCTCTTCAGTTTGTACATGAAATGTATCCCTGTTTGGAGGGAGAGAATCTTCAACCATATATATGAAAGAAAAGCTAGCAATGAGCAGGGTCTTGTTACAAATAAGGTGTTAAACACAGAGAAGTGAGCAAAGTTGAGCAGTCATGGGGATGATAGAAAGTAAGAGACCCCTAGAAACATCTTTGGTATCTTTGGTTGTGAAGTTTTGGTTCATCTGTTTGCAGAGTCTTTGGTCTTGGACAGTGAACCAAATTGAGCCTCAGCAGTTTAATTAAAAAAATACAAAACACTTAATAGAAGCACTTAATTCCAAGCTCCTCTTCAGACCTGGCTAATATGTAGAGTTTTGGAAACATCAGCACTCAATGTATAGCAGGATATTGCTCAGTTCTTTTTAGTAGAACGAATGTGTTTACATGTAGGTGGATCATAGAATTAATGAAACAATATATTTTTGTATAGTAATTATAGTTTTAATTCTGGAAAAATTCTTTGGTGTTAGTGCACTGATTACTTTTAAATTTTAAACCTATTTTCATTGATTATATGAAAAAAAATGGGTAAAAATGGTATTAGAGCATGTCGGACTTTATCTCTTCTCTCCATCTATCCTTGAAAGATTATAAACTTTCCATGGTATAGTATTCTTGATATATATTATATTTCTAAAATCTGAACATTTTATAGATCTCTTAAATTTTTTTCATTACAAAAGGCCATTACTACAACGCATTTTAACTTCTGCTTTTGGAAATTGAAGTGTGCTTTTTTTTTTTTAATATGTTTTTATTGATTTCAGAGAGAGAAAGGGAGAGNTGCATTTTAACTTCTGCTTTTGGAAATTGAAGTGTGCTTTTTTTTTTTAATATGTTTTTATTGATTTCAGAGAGAGAAAGGGAGAGGGAGAGAGAGACAGAAACATCAGTGATGAGAGAGACTCATTGATCGGCTGCCTTCTGCACATCCCCTATTGGGAATGGAGCCAGCAACCTGGGCATGTGCCCTGGCAGCAATCGAACCTGACCTCTTGGTTCATACATAGGTCGATGCTCAACCACTGAGCGAGGCCAGCGGGCAGAAATTAAAGTTTTTTGAGACTAATGGCCTGATTAGTTCTATCATTCTATTTAGAAGGCATATATACTCTCTTATAAATGTGGGATATTATTAGATCAATGTGATAAATTCTTATAAGAACTGTTATAATCTAGGAATCTTTAGCAGTACCCTCATTTTATAGAAAGGTTATTGAAAATTCAGTAAACATATATGACATAGTGACATATATCAATGGCTATGTCTATTTATCATAATTTTTAAATTATAATTTACAACTCTAACTTTTATACTTGTCAAGACAAAAAAAACTAAACTCCTAATTACTATTTGTTTTCATCTTTGTGAGACTCTAAATACCTAAAAGTAATAGATATGGAGAAAAGATATATCTCATTTATACCCTGTCCTAAAACTATTAGTACGTTCAGATACTTAATGCATTTCAATATATCAAATGGGGCATATTAAAGTGACAATAAAAATGTTTATACCATCTGTGTCAAAATCCAGATGCATTATTGGTTCAAATATAGTTTTGGTTTTACATCAGATTTCAAAATGGTAGAACACCTTTCTATTAATAAAATTATGTCATTTATGTAGTAATCTCAATCAATTTATGTTATAATGAGGGTAATTACAATGAAACCAATTTCAGAATGACACTGCAA